TTTTTGGGTTAAAGGGAGTTATAAGAGAAGCTAAACCCTAAGAAAAGGAAATAAGGGCCTACTCTGGGTCCTAGCTGCAGTCTATACACTAAACCCTAAACCCCGAAACCGTAAAGCGTAGCCCGAACCTCGAAACCACCCTCGCTAAACCGAAGAACCCCTTTGAGGCCTACAGAAAAGGTCCGGGGGAACCTCTGGGCCTCACGGCGAGGCGATCTTTCTGGCTTGGGTTTAGGCATCATGGGCCTTAGGGTTCCTTCTAAGGGTACTGCAGGCTTCTAAAAGAGGGTTTCCGAGAAGGGTTCTATAAGGGATCTACATGGGAGTTTCCGAAAATAAGGGACCCTAATATAGTGCCCTAAATATTAGGATCCTTGTTATAAGGACCCCAAAATAAGGTACCCCTCATTTTCGGAAACCCCCACATTATGGCACTTACAGGATCATGCCTGGAGCTGAAGGGAAGTCGGTATCCACCGAAGCCCTGAGACTCTCAGCATCTTGGCCCCGAAACCCTACGTCCTATACCCTCAACCCCTAAAGGCCTAAACCCCCAAACCGTATACCCTCAAGCCGAAGGCCCTTAAACTGTATACCCTCAACCCTACACCCCTAAACTAACCCTAAACCCTAAACCCTAAATTTTAGACGGCTTGCGCCGAAGATGCGCCAGCGCAGGTTGTGGTTTGAAGAGCAGAACGAAAGCGGGTTTGATGGAAAGCAACCGACAACCACAATTCAGTTTAAGTAAATTGGTAAGTTTCTCAAAAAGCAGTTCAAGCAAATTGAAACAAGAGCCCGAACGGAGGTTTAAGTAAATTGAAGGCACCGAGGCAAAGCAAAAGGGAGCAGAGCAGAGCAAGGCAGGGTTGCAGAGCTAAAACGCCCAATTTGAGGGCCCGAACCCCCTCCAAGCCCCCAAATTTGGCTTTTTGCCTTTTCCAGACCCCTTCCAAAGCCGCCAAATCTGGTTTTTTTGCCTTTCTCCAGACCCCCTCCAAAGCCCCAAACTGTGCTTTTGGGTCTTTTCCAGTCCCCCTGCCCCCAAATCGGGTTTTTTGGTCTTCCAGACCCCCTCCAAGCCCCAAATCGGGATTTTCAAACCCCCTCCAAAGCCCTAAACCGGTATTCTTGGCCTTTTCCAGACCCCCTCCAAAGCCCCAAATTGTGCGTTTTGACCTTTTCCAAACCCCCTCCAAGCCCCCAAATTGGGTTTTTTTTGGCTGTTCCAGACCCCCTCCAAGCCCCCAAATCAGGTTTTGTGGCCTTTTCTCCAGACCCGCTCCAAAGCACCAGATTGTGCTTTTTGGCCTTTTCCAGACTTCCTCCAAGCCCCCAAATTGGGTTTTTTTTGCCATTTCCAAACCCCCTCCAAGCCCCCAAATCGCTTTTTGGCCTTTTCCAGATCTCTTCCAAACCCCCAAATTGGGTTTTTTTGCCTTTTCCAAACCCCTCCAAAGCCGCCAAATCAGGTTTTTTTGCCTTTCTCCAGACCCTCTCCAGAGCTCCAAAATGTGCTTTTTGGCCTTTTCCAGACCCCCTCCAAGCCACCAAATCGGGTTTTTTTGCCTTTTCCAGACCCCCTCCAAGCCTCCAAAGCGGGATTTTTGGCCCTTCTCCAAACCCCCTCCAAAGCACCGAATTGGGCTTTTTGGCTTTTTCCAGACCCTTCAAGCCTCCAAATTGGGCTTTTTTGCCTTTTCCAGACCCCCTCCAAAGCCGCCAAATCGGGTTTTTTGGCCTTTCTCCAGACCCTCTCCAAGCCCCCAAATCGGGATTTTTGGCCCGTCTCCAAACCCCCTCCAAAGCACCAAATCTGTATTTCTGGCCTTTTCCAGACCCCTTCCAAGCCCCCAAATCGGGTTGTTTTGCCTTTCTCCAGACCCCCTCCAAAACCCCAAATCGGTGTTTTTGGCCTTTTCCAGACCCCCCTCCAAGCCCCCAAATCGGTTTTTTTTTTTGCCTTTCTCCAGACCCCCTCCAACTCCCCAAATTTCGGGGATTTGGGGCTGGGGTTTGGATAGGTTTGGAATTGGGGATTTGGGGCTGGGATTTGGACTGGAATTGGGGATTTGGGGCGAAAATGGAATTGTCCAAAAACTTTTGCGATTCGGGCTACCGGCCTGGAACAAGCCAAAACCCAAATCCAGATTGCGGGTTTGGAGGCCAAAAAGCCAGTTTGGGGGCTTGAAGGGGGCTTGGAAGGCGTGGAAGCAGCCAAAAACCCAGTTGGGGGCTTGAAGGGGGCTTCGACAAGGCCAAAAACCCAGTTTGGGGGCTTGGAGGGGCTGGAAAAAGCCAAAAACCACAGTTTGGGGGCTTGGAAGGACCTAGAAAAGGCAATTCTACACCCACCCCAAATACTGAAACGCGAAAATGGAATTAACCAAAACTTTAGGGATTAGGGGCGGACTCTCGTTGTGACAATGAGTCTGGACCAGCTTCGGATCCGTAGCATCAACCTCATCAAGGACTTTCAGGTGGCGGTAGACTTGCCGCATCCTGCTCGTCAGAAGGGCTTGTAACCGTCCGGGTTCACCCGCCGATGGGAAACAAAAATCTGTCACGTAGATACGGGTGTTCATCAATGAGGTCAAGGGCTGAGGCAAGCTTGTAGTTCGAAGAACATGGAAATTCATGCATAGCAATGCTTTTGTTTGCCCTTCAAAACAGTCATCGCAAGCCCATTTTCGGGTAGAACGTCGATCTGATCACTCCGGGGCACGATAGTACGTGCACAATTCCGGAAGGAGGAGCCGACCAGATGCATGGCCACATATCTCACACGCCTGCTTGTCGGCTGCGGGGTACCCAATCATCTTTGGGTGGCGTGACGCATCGGTGACTTTGTGGCTCTTCCAGCAGCCGACACAATAAAAGGTTCCATCTGTGGCTTTTGCGCACAGTGCGTACACTTCACCGTGTCTTGCCTGACATTGGCAACATGGAACTGCGCCATACTGTCGGCGGCGGCGTAAAAAAACGACAATGGCTGCCACCAACGTCATAATCAAAGGTCTGGACAACCACATCCGTGCCATGATGCAGTCGGGATGCCGGGATGGAAAAAGGAAGAATAATGCTGGTCTTGGGCACGAGACACGCTACAGTATGCAAAGAAAGACATCCAAGCCGCCAAACATGTGCAAGCACTTGCTGTCTGATCCAAAAGCAATCCAAAAGCAATCCAAAAGCTATCCAACAGTAGTGAAACGGTAAAACGCGACTGAGGCTTGCACATAACGGCAAAACTCGTGCCCAGCGCGGTTGCACCTCGACTTATAGGTAAAGGCACAGCAATGAATTACCAATTAGAACCTGCTATCGGACTCGATTCCATCCCAGGCTTGCCCAGCCAAGCCGCCCGGCCTGAATGGATCGAGCACGTCAAGACCATGGCTCACTGTTTGGCGGCAGCTTCGCAGCGCAATGCTGCAGCGGTTGCTTGGGTCACTACCAAAGATTCCAGAGATGACAGGGTCAGATCGAGGCTGCAAATCCGTGCGTACGAGACACGCCGTGAAGACCAGGATATTGGCCGGCATAGGGGGCGGCACCTCAGAAAGAAACAACCCTTCAGGGACGAAATGTGGCAAACATAACAGCGTGCTGCAGGCAACAAACACACGCAGCCAGAATGAGTCCAGTCAAGGAACGACCGGCTGCACCCAAAGCCTGCCAGAGTTGTCCTTGCTTGCGCAGTCAGAGTCACGAGAACGACGACAAAATGAGACACGGACACAACTAAAAACAAACCTTACATGATTACGTCGAGACTCTGCGACGACGATTGTGGGAAGCTGCACCGGCGGTTGCACCCCCGTGGCTGTAGAAATAATCATCGGTGGAAGTGTAGCAATTACCGGGAGCGACAGAAGTCAAAGTCTGCAGGCTAGGCAATCGGATGCCCTCCAATCTCTAGGTGCTCGAGCCATGATATTCGTCACTGGCACTTCTGAGCTGTGCAAGTATGTGAAATACCCAGGCAAAACCCTAAACCCTAAACCCACATTTTGTGGATATGGGGCCCGGATTCGAGGCTTGTGAGGGACTGTAATTGGGATTTGGGGCTTGGAGACTGGAATTGGCCCAACCAGGCTTGGAATTGGCCAATTCCAGGCCCCAAATCCTCAATGCCAGGCCAATCCATCCCTCAATCCCCAATTCCAGTCCCAAATCCCAAATTCACCAAATCCAAGGCCAAAACCCCATCCCCGGCCCAAAACCTTCCATTCCAGCTAGGCCACAAATCCCCAACCCATCCAACCACCCAGTCCCCCAAACCCAGTCCACCAGCCCAAATCCCCAATTCCAGGCGCCCGAGCCCCAAATCCCCAATTGCACGTGCCAGGCTCCAAATCCCCAAATACAGGCCAAACCCCAACCCCAAGCCCAGGCCACAACCCCCCCGCCAGCCAAGTGCCTCCAAATCCCCCACTGCAATTGGGGGCTCCAAATCCACAAATCCTTCAAACCCCAAATCCCCATTTCCAGTCCCCCAGACCCCAAATCCCCAATTCCCCCAGGCCAGATCCGCAATTCCAGCCTTAGCCTTTGGGCTCCCAACCCCCAACTTCCAGCCCGCAGGCCCCGAATCCGCATTTCCAGTCCCCCAAGCCCCCAATCCGCAATTCCAGTCCCCCAGACGCCAAATCCCCAATTCCAGCCCGAATCCCAGCCCCAAATGCCCAATTACAAATCTACCAGGCCCCCAGGCTGCGAATCCGCAATTCCAGTTCCCGAGGCCCCAAATCCCAAATTCCAGCCCCCCAAGCCCCCAGTTCCCAGACCGCAAACACTAAAACCAGAAACCCGATTTTAACAAATTGTTTTACGGGCCAAGGCACAGTCCCCTTAAAGGAAGCTGAACTATGTAACGCTTCGCTGCGCCATAAGTGCCCGGGGCGCCTTGCGCAGTCCAAAAACTGCGCTGGCGAACCCCAAACCCTAAGCCCTAAACCCTAAACCCTACACCCCTAAACCCTAAATGGTGGTGGGGCCTGCGCAGTCTACGCAGAGGTAGGCTCCAACAGAGACGCTGGCCCAGTCCTTGACTTCGGGGGCTCTCGGGTTTCGGGTCTCGGGTTCAGGGTTTAGGGTTTTAGGGATAGGGTTTAGGGTTTTGGGGTTTAGGGTTTAGAGTTTAGGGTTTAGGGTTTAGGGTTTTAAGGTTCAGGGTTTAGGGTTTTAGGGTTCAGGGTTTAGCGGTCCAGGGTTTCCGGGCTCAGGGATTAAGGGTCTGCTTGGAGGTGCATGGGTAGTTTTTATAAGTAGGGTTAGAAATAGGGTAACTATACTTATCGGGTTCAGGGATTATGCGTTCAGGGGTTCCGGGCTCAGCTAGGAGGTGTTTTTAAAGCATTTTGAAGAATATTAGCAGGTAAGATCCTCAGAAGCCCAATAACAGCAAATATAACATGTCCCAAAGCCCTGCCTAGTCAGGGATTAACTACTATTTGCTTAAGAAGCCCCCAAAAAATAAAAAACATAATCCCTATATTACCCCCATAAGGAATATATTTTTTATTTTTTGGGGGTTCTTAAGCAAATAGTAGTTAAGGGTCTAGGGGTCTAGGGCCTAGGGGTTCAGGGGTCTAGGGCGCGCAGGCTTTCGGGGTGCAGGCCCCCTCGGGTTTTGGGGTTCAGGGGTTCGGGGCTCAGGCTTTTCGGGTTCTAGGGTTTAGGGGTTCAGGGTTTCGGTCCCGGTTTAGGGCTCAGGGTGCAGCGGTTCGGGGATTTCAGGGGTTTAGGGTGTAGAGATGTCGAGTGTAAGTGCTTGGGGCTCAACAATGTCCAGCGAAGCACTGAAGCACCGAAGCCGTGCAACACCTTCACCGATAAACAGCCCTACCGTCGCCATCTTCGTCTGCGTCGGTGGTGGTGGTCACAGCCAAAGGCCCGGGCAGCTCGACATACATGAGGCCGATGTAGAAGAGCAGCACGCTGCCGTCCTGGAAGACGGGGTACTGGCGGCCAAAAAGGCCGGGTAGCGTAAATCTGTGCGTGAGGCGCAGAAAGTGGCGTCGCACACAGGGGTCCGGATCGCACGCGAAGGCGTCCAGGTACACAACCTGCTGCTCGATTCGCCACGTCCCGCACGAGCCCCATGCGATCTGCCCCCGGCCATTCCGGGTTCTCCGTCGGAAGTGGCACAGCTGGCTGTTGCAGCCGCCCGTGCCCTGGCTGTTCTGGCTGTTGCAGCCCTAAACCCGAAACCCTGAAGCCCTAAACTGAAAGTACCGGCGGCACCCAGGATTCAGCTCAAGCTTGGGCTTTAGGCATCGTTGCGACCGAGGTGGCATCCGGTGTGCGATGGTTTGTGAGCTCTTGTGACACTGAAAGGGGGTCTGACAGTTATCCTGATTACTAAACAAGACTAGAAAGCTTGGGACTTTGGATTTCTGGTTAGCTTTGGGGTAAAGGGTAAGTAGCAACTTAGGACATTCTTCAATGCTATGGCGGGGGTGGCTGTTGAAGCTACAAGTAACCTACAACCATGCCCCACCATCTCCACTACAGGAGCCTCCATATCCCCAACCCCTACAGCAACGGAACAGGCTGGTGTGGTGTACGAGGCCACAGTTGTGATGGATTTTTACAAAGTACATAGCGAAAGCACTTTAAGTCCTTGAACTCGGAAGCGGCCTAGAACCCCCAACTACCCTCTAATATACCCTAAATACTCGCTATCACGGACTAGAAGGGCTCTGTTAAAGGGCACTTTGGGGGTCCTGGGGTATTTAATTACTCCCCTGAAAAAAGAGACCACAAAAACTCAATTGAAGCCCACCGGACGGCATCAGGAAGCTTGCAATCGATGCATGTTTGAGATGCGCCGGCCTTCGACGATGGCGTGGCAGTCGATTCGATTCAGGTCGGGGATTTGAGGGTTGAGGCGGGTACGACTTATGGTTTCGGGTCTAGGTACCGCAACTGTATGGAGTTCCAACCCTAAACCCTAAACCCTAAACCCTAAACCCAAACCCAATGTTTGGACTGCCACAAGCCTACAGCAGCTTCTTGCACTGCAACTGACTGAAGCTTGAGCCTTCGCTATACTGAACTTAGAACCCTAGCAACAATTTCAGTTTTAGCTGTTTCTTAGGGATTACAATAACCAAAAATTAAAAAAATATTTCTAACTACCCCTAAGTTCATTTTGGAATGGAACATAGACCCCCCAGGCTCGCATAGCTTAGGATAGGGGCCTCAACAGTCAGAATAGGCTTTAGGGGCCCATTTATACCAAAAATTGTAATAAGGAGCCCCCCAAAATAGTATAGTTACGTGTACTTATTTAGGCCCCTGTATTAGGATAGGGTTAGGGTTTAGGGTTTAAGGCCCAGGTGGGCTTTCATAGCGTCGCTCCCCAGCCAGTTTCTTCTTGAGCTCGGGTTTCCAGGGATCACTTGCAAGATCATGGGACTTAGTAAGTAGGGTTATAAGTAGCTTAATTGGGGTTATAAGTAGATATAACTATAGTTACCTTAATTATAACCCTACTTACTAAGTCCCATGATCCTTTAAGCACGGGTGACAGCCTAAACAGTGGAATTGAATCCTAGTTCTGAGCCTCTAGCACCAGGAACCTTAGGCGCCCAAGTCCTGAACACTAAAGTCTTTGCACCTGGCGTCTAGGCGAAGTAGTGAGGATTCTACCACAAGCCCTCAATCCCCATCCCTCTGCCCCAAGCCTAAACCTGGTCATGTAGGAATCCGATTAAGAAAGCCTGGGCCTAAAACCCCAAAACAGTAGGAATCAGATAAAGAACCCCAATAAAGACCCAGGGTTTCTTAATCAGGTTTCTACATTTAGGCACAACTCGGAACAGCTAGGCCTCTGCAAAAAAAGCTGCCGCATCTTCAGGCGCAGGAAGATTGAGCAGCTCCTCTGACACGAGAGACGAGGGATGGGCGTTTCGTCGTTCGGGTGCAAGACGAATATGTAATTCCTATGGAGTGATCCCACTACAACATGAGTATACCCCAACACCCTAGTTTGGTTCGTAATTAAGGCCCCTATATCAGCGATATGGGAACAGGATCCAAATGTTTCGGTCTGTGAACCCAAGTTTGGGATCGGATCCAGGCAGGTTCCCGGATCAACCATCGCAGGGGTCGCAATACTTAGCCATAGTGTTCCTTAGGCTTCCCCAATAAGCATACTATATACGCATATAGTATGCAGCAGCACCGAACACGATCCTCACTATGGAGGCCCCTCCAGTAAGGAAGGCTGAGCTCTGTGGCCGTAGGGTTTTACCCAAAGGGTCCCAGGTACTGTTATGGGGAATACTTCCCCCCCTGCAAAAAAATAGTATTTCAAAAAAACAACCATCCATTCTACTATATGGGTACTTTGGACCCTTTGGGTTAGGATTTGATCAGGTCTCGGCCCTGAATCTGGGCTATGGTCAGCTGGGCTTTGAAGTAACCAGGGAAGAAAGAAGTATAGACTTTTTTTTCATAGTTGGTTCCCTTTAAGTAACAGGTCCCCCAAAAGTATTAAAGTATGGTACTCCAAAGCCCAGTCAGAGGATACTAGCATACTTTCCGGAGGTCGCTAGAGATCGCTATTGGCGTGACAGTAGAGTACCACCGGTAGCAGCAGCAGTTCCAGTAGCCACGGTCGCATTGGCATTGGCAGCGGGAGTGGTGGTAGTAGTAGTAGTAGTAGTGGTAGTCGTAGTCGTAGTCGTAGTAGTAGTAGTAGTAGTAGTAGTAGTAGTAGTAGTAGTCGTAGTCGTAGTCGTAGTCGTAGTCGTAGTCGTAGTAGTAGTAGTAGTAGTCGTAGTCGTAGCCGTAGTCGTAGTCGTAGTCGTAGTCGTAGTCGTAGTCGTAGTCGTAGTAGTAGTAGTAGTAGTAGTAGTAGTAGTAGTAGTAGTAGTAGTAGTGGTAGTAGTGTTAGTAGTGGTAGTAGTAGCAGTAGAAATAATAGTAACTGGCAGTTCGCCCCATAAAGCCTGGAACCTTGAACTCCAAAACCTGAACCCCCCTGAGCCTAAACCCTAAACCATAAACCCTAAACCTTAAACCCTAATATAACCCTAAACCTTAAACCCTAAACCCTAAACCCTAAACCCTAGACCCTAAACCCTATACACCGAGCCGCACGTCCTCAAGGGCCCAGGCTACCCCTCATCCCGGAACACCTTTAAGCCCATAAATCCTACACCCTAAGCCCCTGAAGCGCTATCAGAGCCACGGTTTAGGGTTTAGGGTTTAGGGCCTTAAATCCTAAACCCTAAACCCCTCCTCCAGTGGCTGCGCCGGCTGTTCTGCAAGCGCAGTCACCAGAGGCTGCGCGTTGCTGTCCTCCTTGTCACGGCTTCGGGGTTCAGGGTTGAGGGTTCAGAGTTTAGGGTTTAGGGTTGGGTATAGAGTTCGAGCCGATGGGATTTGAGATTTAAGGAGTTTGGGGCCCTGAAAAAGGAAACCCTAAACCCTGCGGCTCAAACCTTAACTATAATTACTGGACTTAGACCTCTAGCAAAGATTTTCATTCCCGACGTCTCAGGGATTATAGGCTAAAAACTTGAAAATATTTATAAAATCTAGATTTTGGGACTTTCTGGCGTCGGGAGCGTTGGGATCAAAGGCCCACGAAGATTTGGGATCCAAGTCCCCCGAAGCCCTAAGCCCTACAAGCTGCTGTAAGCCCTGAATGGGAGTTTCCGAAAATAAGGGGTACCGTATTTTGGGATCCTTAAAATAAGGATCCTACTATTTAGGGTACGATATGAGGGTCCCCTATTTTCGGAAACTCCCGAAGATGAACACGTCTGTGTGCTTGGGTTGGAGGAGCTGGGTTTTAGGATGCAGTGGAGAACAGCAGGGTTCATGATGGGTTTCAGGTTGATGTAATCCTAAACCCTAAAGCCCTAAACCCTAAAGCCCTAAACCCTATAAACCCCCTAGCTTTGTGTAGGTATGGTTGGGGTTTAGGTGTCGACGGGGCTGTCCTTTGCTTTTTTCTGCGCCGTGAGTTTGAGGGGTTAGATCAGCAGCCTTTTTCAGATATGTTATATGTTATAACATATAACGCACAGCATGGAATACCTTTTCGGCCCTAGTAGGTTGTTAGCAAATAGCATTTTCAGACCTTAAATAGTCCCAGTAAATACAACTGCATAGAAGCTATAGTAGAGTATGTACTCTGCAACTTATTCTACGCATCCTTTCATGTAGCAATTGAAGTGTGTACAGTAATATGCCATATTGAATATACCAGATAGTTGACATTCAGCTCATTTTACTCTCTGGTATAACGACGCTGTATGACTCACAAAGACAGCTGAAACATGTCACCGATAATTTGAATAATAATAGTATAAGTTATGTAAGTCCATGGTAACCAACGTTTGGGCCTCAGCTGTGAACCCCCTTGCTCCCCTGCGACCTGCATCAACGAGGGCATCAGTAAACCCGGATGTGCACGACATTTTTCGGGTTTGGGGTTTAGGAGCCTCCAATACAATGTGAAATCCCTCCGAGTCTGGGCACGCGGCTCCCTTGCACAGAGGCAGCGCTCGTTGTAGCACCTCCTGACACAAAGCAGCTTTCGGCGTGCTGCTTGCAGGTTAAAATGTCTGAGCAAGCATGTTCGCACTAGAGCCGAAAGCTTAAACCCTATAATAATAATAATAATAATAACAATAATAATAATAATAATAGTAATAATAATAATAACAATAATAACAATAATAACAATAATAATAATAATATATATATATATATATATATATAGAGCTGTCTGACTACCCATGCTGGGGACTTCCAATCCCTGCCGATGCACCTTGATGCTCCATGTCCGGCATGTTATGTCCATGCACCCGACATACGAAACTAAACCGGTCAATGGCAGGTGGGGCTCCAGGTTCAGGGTTTAGGGTTTTATGGGCAAATCGCAAATTGAATGAAAGAGGACCCAAACAGCCTAAACGGCAAATCGCCGCCTCAACCCCAAACCCCAAACCTCCTAACCTTAAACCCCAAGCCCCAAACCTTAAACCCAAACCCCTAAATTAAATCCTAAACCCCAAGCCCCTGAACTTTAATTAAAGCCTAATACCCCAGAAACCCCTAAACTGCAAATTCATATCCCCAAACCCCTAAACAAGAACGGCCAACCGCCAGAAACTTACAAGCAAGCAGGATGCAATGCCGAAAGTGCCTGCGCCTCGCGCCAGGCTCGCTCCACCTTGCCCGGCTTGGGGCCAATATAGCGTAGCATTATAGAACAGACTGGAATGGATTAGCATATTAGACAATATGAGGGACATAATAGAGGCGACTCGATAACACTGGAATAAACTAGAACAGAATCGAATAGAAAAGAATATACCATATGATCTAATGCAACCCAGCAGAACATAGGAATTCAAAGTCAAATGAAGTAGAACACCATACAAAAACATGTAGTGTTAATGGTAATCCTCATATACACACCAATAGCAATCTCATTATTAGTCTTTATATTAAAGTGTCTCAGCGTGATATGTACAACATAACATCGTATCATAAGACTATGATATTCTACCGGCCTATAGAACATAGTAGTATCGAGTCGCTCATAAGACAGTTTGGTAAACCATCGTATGCTATGATATGGTATCATATGGCATGACCCAGCATACTTCAAAGTAATGCAATACAACATGGCACATGATAACATGAATAATAGACTACATGATATACATAACCCCTAAACCCTCAACCCCTACATGGACCCCTAAAGCATGTAGAACAATAACATTTTTTGGGTGGTGGGCCATTATTTTACCTACTTTTGGGGGTCGAGGTAACTAACCAGTGGCTTTGGGGTTCCAGTGTGTCTTTAGCTCCATTTTTTATAAGGGTTACCATCATCTCTGGCTCCTTAGCTCCCCCAATACCAATGGTTACTCCTGAACTCTAAACCTTATAAACCCTAAATAGGCAAGCCTTAAAACTCTTGACCCTCCAGGCCTTGGCAGCTTGTCGCGAGCTCTCCTAGGCTGTTCAGTAACCCACTGGGAAAAAGTATATACTTTTTTCGGTTTCTTATCTTATAAAAGGAATCCAGAAACTTGAAGGTAAAAAAGTCTACCACTGAACAGCCTGGTCTCCATACCAGCGATGGCCTCCATTCGGAGCCTCTCCTGACCTGCGGACACTAGGGGATCTCCTGATCTGTGGATACTAGGGCTCGATCCCTTAAAGGAACCCTATAGATCCCTTAAAGGAACGCTGTCGCTCCCGGAAAGGAAGTTTAGGGGTGTGGGGTTTCGGGTTTAGGGTTTGAGGGGTTTCGGGTGTAGGGCTTACGGTCTAAGGGTTTGTGGGCTTGAGAGGTCGATACTATGTTACATTATAGTTCCTTGTCCTGGTCCCCTTATCGAATCCTAAATATGACGTTGGTTTAACTAAGGAAAGGAACTTCATTGGAGACTTCGGGTAATGCTTGGAATTTGCCAACTTTGGACGGCTTGTTCGTTCAAGGATACATTGTACTACGTAGAGCGCGGCAGAAAAATGGGAAGAACCACGCCGGTAGACTATGCAGTTTCAAGACACGCATTGGGCTTGCTGTATCAATACAAGGTGGATCGTATCCTAAGGCCCCAAAGGATTCCTTTTTGGGGTTAATATTTATTTAGAACCCTATCAGGTAATCCCAAAAGGAACTACTTTGGGGCCTTTGGGTAGCTTCAAGCTAGCCCAAGCAGCGTGAGCTCCCGAAACCGACAGTCGAGGCGAGCTGCGGACGTAGCTGGCGCAGGTGCGGCGCAAATCCAGCCGCCTGGCACGTACACCCTGAACCCTAAGCCCCAAACACTAATAGGCCCTAAACCGTAAACTCTACACTCAAAATTCAAAAACCTAAACCGTAAACCGTAAACTCTACACTCATGATTCAACAACCTAAACCCTAAACCGTACATTCTAAAAACCATTAAAAACCTTCAGGATCATGCATGGACCTACACCAGCCGATGACGCATTCGAGCCGGGAGGTCGGAGGCCGGACCCCTACTTAGAGGACCATGGGACAAAGAAGGAGGGTGAGAAGTAAGGAACTATAGCTATATCTACTTACAACCCCAATTAAGGTACTTATAACCCTACATACTAAGTCCCATGATCTTCCAAGTACTCGGTGTAGGGTTCAAGAGGAGTTATCAATGGGGTTGTAAAGTCCTTTGATATGGGTTTAGCGTTTAGGATTTATATAAGGGGTTGTAAACCCCCTGATATGGGCTAGAGCTGTAAGTACCCGACTTTTCGCAATCTGCCGCTCCTCCGACCAAAACCACGACTTTGGGCGGATGTCCAGGTGATAAAAAAATCCTAAACCCCAAACCGCAGCGTGAAGGTGCAAAAGCGGCATTGCGATCTGTTTGCTGCAGGTCCAAGGCCTCGAGCCACTGAAAGCGCCCACTGCAGCCAGGGTCCGGCCGCACGGCAATGTTCTCTATTAGGGGTTGTAGGACCTCAAGGATACCATGGACTCGGACATTGGACATTTCTGCAAGGTCTTCAAGATTTTGATTTCGCTTTTGAAGTCCCAACCCTCGCCGAAGACGAGTGCCATGCCAGTCAAGCAAAGCTTGTCGTGGGTTGCTGCAACACATGCGACCTAACCCTAAACCCTAAGCCCTAAACCCTGAACCCTAAACCCCTAAACCCCCAAGATCTCCCAACTGTACTAGCCCCAAAGACCAATCCCCGGTCTCGACCAGCGCGAGTGTCTCAACTTCACCGCCTGCCCCCGTAGCATCCATGTCACGAAGCTGCTCTTACAATGCATTCTGCCTTTCACGCCGCTCATTCTCTAGGATACCCAGTAACCTAAGAATACAAAGGCCTCTCTTTTTGGTATTGGGTAACTTTATAAGGAACCTGGGACTACAAAAAGGGAATAAGGGTACTACTGGGCATCCTAGTTCTTCACTTTATCCTCCCACTTGGTCTTCTTTTTCTCTGCATCGCTTAAGCTGCTCCAGGACCGGGACACGGCTGCGATCACCAGACGTTGGCAACGGCCCTTGGTTTAGGGTCTAGGGTTTAGGGTTTAGGGGTTTAGGGTTTAGGGTTTAGGGGTTTAGGGTTTAGGGTTTCTTCTGCTGCTCTTCCGAAAGCTGTGCCTTTATTGGCGGATAATTATAAACCCACCAATAGCTAGCCATGTATCTCCAAGTTTACAAATTCGAAACGCCCACGGCCGCGTTCAATTCTGAAACTCCTCCCTGCGACTAGGGTTCTACGGGCAAATCCCCAACCTATATAAACCCTGGGATCGATCCCACATCTCAGCCTAAGCAACATCTAAAAACCATAAACCCTCAAGCTAGACAACTCATCGCCCAAAGCTGGGGTCCAAAACCCAAAACCCTAAAATTTAAACCATGAACCCTGAACCCCAGAAAAGCTGGCTCTTGGGTAGGGTCAAAAACCCTAGACCCTAAACCCCAAACCTTAAACCCTGAACCTTAAGCCTCAAACCCTAAACCCTAGCCCTTAAACCCTACACCCTAAAACTAAAACCCTAAACCCTGAACCCCTGAAGTAAACTCTAAACCTTAAACCCTAAACCCTAAAACAGAAACCCCGTAACCCCTGAAGGGTAGGGTCAAGGAAGACCAGGTCCCCCCCACCACAGCATGAACGCTTAGCATCCGCGCTTCGTGAACGTTGCAAGAGGGCTTCGGAAGTGTTTATACGGGGTTTTGCGGGCACTGCCGGGTTTCGTTTGCTCTTTTGATGAAGGCTCTTGAAACTTCTAGGAAGGTTTTGCAATGGGTCTTCATGCTTAGAGCACAGTTTTGGGGATAATTATTCCTGACTATATTACTAGCTATTCGAATCCCTACAGGAACTTAGCTGTAGCCTGCTTCCAAGGTCTTGGAAGCAGGAGTGCAGGAACAATAGCAGGGATGCCGGGAAAAGAAATCTGAGCCTTCAGGGTGTGGGGTTTAGGGTTTGCGGTTTAGAGCTTAGGGTCTATAGGGTTTAGGGTCCAGGGGTTTACCGTTTAGAGTTTGGGGTTTAGGGCTTGGTGTTTAAGCAAACACACCGGTGCCTCCGCCGGAGTTGGGTGGCAAGCTCCTCGCTGCGCCTGAGCTCCTCCCACCACTGGCAGAATCAAAGCTGCAATTCAATTCTGCAGGCTTTGCTTCTTTTTTCAACAGTATGAAATGACGCAATACAACATGATACAGTGTAACAGAATACATTGTAATAGGACATAACAAAACATGAAAGATCTGTGTAGTAAACGGTTTGAGTAACATACAGTATAAGCAAGATTCGTACAATAGAGCACATTACACTATAATATAACATCCTACAATGTCTCATAATACGTAAAAATACAGAGCAGCGTGATACATAACATCTGGAAAAGACCGTCTCATAACATGACCTGTACGTATGTAGGTATGTATGTGTGTATGTGTGTACATATGTGTATACATATATATATATATATATATACATATTATGATGCGAAACGAATCGAACTATGACACTGGCAATTTAATGTACTGTAGCATAATTAGTGAACTATAATGCAGCGCAATATAGTTATGTATATATATATATACACAGTATAGGTGTGCATACATAGTACATATTTACACAGAGCGTAACATCAGACAACATATATAGCATTATCAATCATATGTGGCATACTATAAAAATATTGCAACCCAGTTTCATCAGGAATGAAAACATACAAAGCGTACCATGTTCATTTTTCGAAACCCAATCTTAACCTACTAACAGCAGTATGTAATTCAATACAACATGATGTACCATATCATAGTGCAAAATAGCTACGAGACAACGAGTATCATAAACTGCAACTTCATGTTGTAGATTGCAGAGACCGGCGTTTAGCGCCTGTGGACTTTTACTGTTATTGCCGTTCCTATTACTAGCACCACTATTGTTATCATTACCACTATCTCCAGTATTTCTAAAGCGGGGACGATACATGTATGGAATACTACAATCCCACAGCCCTATTCTGATCATCAGGTCATCGGGGCTAAGTATATACTAAAAGGGGAACATGGAGCCTGAGGAATGGTCATGATGACGGTGACGGTGGTACTCTTAATCATGACGATGCTGCTTTCACGCTGCTGGGCCATGACATGGGGGTTTCCGAAAATAGGGGACCTTAATATAGCACCCTGAATAGTAGGATCCTTATTATTAGGACCCCGAAATAAGGTAATTACCCCTAATTTTCGGAACTCCCACATAGTTCGACACTGCCTCCCCGTTTGCTGCCAGTGGTGAGAATGGTGATGAAAGTGTAGACTAAAACAGCGGGGCAAATCCAGACCTGAAAAGCCGGAAAGACCTACCTATTATGGTTTCTATATATGGGAGTTTCCCAAAATAGGGGACCAAAATATGGTACCCTAAATAGTAGGATCCTTATCATAAGGACCCCAAAACAAGGTACCCCTAATTGTCGGAAAGTCCCATATAGCTCCTTAAAAAGGTAAGGTCTTTTCGGATGCAGGAGGGCCTGCAGGCTCTCATTGTTCTGTCGTCTCATGGGGATCTGCACACATCGCAGTCAATACATCAACTTACCCTTGGTTAGTAGGGAGTGGAGGAATGGGGTTTAGGGTTTAGGGTAGTAGAGTTTAGGGTTTTGGGTAGTAGGGTTCAGGGTTTAGGGCTTAGGGTAGTAGGGAATGGAGGAATGGGCTACAATTATAACTACTATTACTACCATTCTTCCATTCCCTAGCAACCAAAGGTAAGTCAACGCCCCCTCGGAAGCCCTAAAGATCAAAGCGGAAAAGGAGGGACCCTTAATAGGGAGCCCTACCTTATAATGGGCTACATAATGGGTATATAATAGCTATATTAAGGGTAAAGACCTAGGGGTCCTTATTAAAGGTCCCTCCTTTTACCCTTGGAAAAGAAGAAGCCGTCCTCCCCAGAGACTATGTCTCGGGCGGTGTGAGCACAGGCTTTGCAGGCCACCGCCCGCAGCCTGGACCATCTTAGGCTGCGGAATGCTGTAGGGAGTTTCCGAAAATAGGGGACTCGAATATAGTAGCCAATAGAGAGTAGGATCCTTATTTTAAGGACCCCAAAATATAATGTACACCTAATTGTCGGAAACTCCCTCTAGGGTCCCAGCAAGTTCAGAAGGGGTGTAGGCGGGTGGACTATAGTATCCGAAACGGGAGCCCTATTCGAATTCCTAAACCCTGAATCCCTAAACCCTAAACCTAAACCCCGAACCCTGAATCACTAAACCCCCTGAACCCCTAAACCCCGAGTACTTAGCGGCGAGGGGCTTCTCATCGGCGAGCTGTCGCTGCAGGCAGAAAGAACCGGCGATCTTCTCCTCACATATTATAGGTATATAAAAGCCAGAAAGTTGGAAAATGTTCTTCCTAACCCTTCTATGGTAAATTACAGGGTATCCTACCATGAAACCATATTCCAACTTTCTGGAGTTCCCTGTATCGGGGCTTCAATAATTAGAATAGGATTGTAGGGTCCATTATTGCTATACTTAAAATAAGGCACCACCACATTCAAGCCCGTATAAGAATCTTAACATACTTTTTCCATGACCCCCTTGGCATGCAAGATACAAATCATACCCTTTGCGCCAAACGGCTCCAGGATGTTATCCCACTTTTGGGTCCAAAATACTTGTGTTCGAGTTATACCTTACTTAAATCAGGCTTGGTTCTTTGCAAACACTCAGTTTGGGGAGCTTAAGGGTGCAAGGGACCAGGGTTGACAGCTTAGAATGCTCCTGCACATTTGCTGTCGGACTGTCCCAACTCCGTTGCTTCGGAGACAGGCGCGTAAGATTGTGTCTAGGTAAGATAATGCCATATAGTCATATAGTCGTAAGGTTCCTGTGTAGCCCTAAACCCCTAAACTCTAAACCCTTAAACCCTGAGTTGAACTTATCTATCCAATGCTGAGGAACTATTGAAAGCCGCGGCCCGCTCAACGTTTGGATCACTGATATGCCGATGTTCGACATCCCTGAATGGGAGTTTCCGAAAATTAGGGGGTTCCTTATTTTGGGGTCATTACAGTAAGGATCCTAGTATTTAGGGTACAACAGGAGGGTCCCCCATTTTCGGAAACTCCAGAATCGTAAATAAATATCTCTAAACCAGATAGCCTGACCCCCGAACCGCACTGTTCGGATTCCGATTAAGAGGGTGAGTTCTAGAAAATTCGATTTGTACCGATTTTCCCGGGCGTCTCCAAGGCGATGCAGGGCCGGACGCTGCGACTGCCATGTAGATACGCTTCGGAGCGCCTCTCAAGCCAAGCTACTTGTGGCAGCCTGAAATGAAGCCTCAGCAAACAGCTAGTTCTTAAGCAAAGGAAGGTGAACCTTCTGAACCCGTAAGGTCCTCGAAATGCTTCGTCGTATCGCGGAGTTGGTTCTCCAACTCCCTGGACCTGTCGAGGCTTAGCAAAAAGCCTACAAGACGTTGACAGAACTCTTGGAGGAGTCCTTTAAAGGAGCCCTAAACCCCAAGCCACTCAACTTTCTGATCTATTACTCGACCTTTCTTTGCCCTCAGAATTTGCAGATGCCTACTTCCAATCTGCTGAAACGCGTTCAGGGCTTTAGGGTTTACTGTTTATATCGACTGTGGGAGCTTCATCAACTCTACAATATGGGGCCCCTAACACTGGGAACAGTGATCCGGGACGGGTGGGTGTCAAAATTAGGATTCCTTTTTGGGTCCTCATTATAATACGGCACCTAATCTTTAGGGTACCCCAAAAAGGGACCGTAATTTGGGTTCTATACCAGAAATATGCTAAGGAGCCCTCCGACCATGATTCAGGGCTTCTATATTCCATGCGCTTCTCGGCATCTCGCTTTGTAGGCTCCAGCTTGGGAGTCAGATGGGTGGTTGTCAAAATTATGATGCCTTTTTGGATCCTCATTATAATACGGCACCGATTATTTAGGTTCCCAAAAAGGGGCCCTAATTTTGACAACCATCCAGATAAGGGTTTAGGACCATAGGATCCTTGGGGGTGCGGTCTGGCATGCTGCTTGTCGGGGGCCTCAAAAGGTAGGATGAAGGTAGGTGGGATATTCCCAAATAAGAGTCCTTATATAAGAGATCCTTAATCCCACCTACCTTCATCCCTTGGGCTAGCCGAGCTAGGGTTTAGCGTGGCTTTTTCTTCTTGGGAGAGGAGGGGAGGGGGGCTCCTTTTCTTGCTGGGGCTTAGGGCCTAGGGTTCAGGGTAGGACTCAGGGCATAAATGGTTTAAGGCTTCAGGTTTACAGGGTTTCGGGGAGTAGGCGTAGAATGCAAACAGCCTAGGAAGTCGACTCGTAGCATAGTTTGGGACGTGTCTTATCGGCAAGAAATACTACCCCAAGCCCCAAACCAACCCCGAAACCCTTCTGTCAGCAAGTCTAAGCCCCAAAGCTGTAAACCCCAAATCCCCAAAAGGAACATGCCGGACTGTCTGGCATGGAATCAAGCTATTGAAGATAGTTTGCCTCAAGGGCATGTGAAGAAGAGATACATGTATGAGTCAGTGGTAAGAATGACTTGGCCATATCAGGAACGATCTTGACAATTCCGGGTTCCGCAGAAAATAGGTGCCCACTGATGCAGTACGCAACAACCAGGGGGACCAGGAGCCCATCGAGGAGCTCCTCCTTATTCAGCAACGGCGACCCACGGCGTTCCGGAAGACGGACAAAGTAGACTCCGTGCTGTTGTGTGCCATTGGCCGCCTGTGCATCCGGCTTGCCACTTGACGCAATGCCATTAACTGACTCTGTCTCTCTAAGTGTGCAGTAAGTAGACAGGTGTCAATCAATACCCTGAATCCTAAACTCTAAGATCTTGCACTCCATCGCTACTACAGCAACCGAAAGCGCCTGAATTGCGCTTCGGCCCAGCAACTAGTCTCTTGGAAGAGGGTGTCAAGCTATGTTCGAGTGTATTTATATGTAGGGGCTATTAGTGACAAAGGAATAAAGTTACTTAGGCATCTAGATTACTCTTCATGGCCTCTTTTCGCAGGATGTCGTGGACTCCTGCCGGCCGATTCCAACTGCTTAGCTTTCATTGGTTCGGAACGTAATATATTAGGGGCCTTAATAACTAGAATAGGGTTTGGGGGTATATTATGCTACAATTATAACAATAACAAGGAACCTCCGCAATAGTATAGGTAATTATTAAGGCCCCCATATTGCAGGACCTGCAGGACTGCTGTCATTTTAAGTGATCTCTTCAAGACACACTGTGGCTAAGCCTCCCGGATCTCAAGTATCAGCTCCAAACGCTGGGCCCACTTACCGTTCTGGATACGCTTTAGGGTTCAGGGTTCAAACATATCATAGTTTGTCGGCCCTCAGAACTCTTCCCCGGCAACTCTCCCCCTGATGTTGACGGTGACAAATCCCAGGGCGCCAACACTATGTCACTAGCTCTTGCTGATTCTAAACTGAAGCTGATGCAGAAGAACTTATGTGTTCGATGCTTGAACTCACATCACGCGACCAGACCACGGCTTTAGCATTGGCTCTGCAAGACGCGTTGTTGCAAAAGTGGCTGTTCCTCCACACAGAAAAGAATCTGAAAAGAATGCAGCTTCTGTGTCATGACTATCGAAGACTGGCATATGCCTCATGTCAAACGACCTCTTCAATGCTACCGCCATCAGTTCAACAGAGAACATGCGTGCAGAGTTGCGGCTGCTGTGCATTCCGTCGACTTCCCGCAGCGTGGAATGCAATTAACATGCCATGGCGTGGTGAGTGCTGCAAGGTGAAAAGCACTCCTCCCACCTACAATAGAGGTTGAGCTGCAGTTGCTAAGCGGGACGCCTTCGGTTTGAGCCAGCTCTATCGAGCTCGAGACACTTGGGGTTTTACGGTTTTAGGGACATACATATATACCTACATACATTTTTGCCTGCATACATACATACACTCATACAGGCCTATACCCATCTTTGTATCTCTCTGTCTACCTATGCATCTATCGGCTATCTATGTACCTATCTATCTGTGTATGTATGCAATACCTAGCGCTTGGAAGCACGTTGGATGCGTCTTTGCAGGGCTCATAGTTCTACGGAACGGCCCCCATTTCTTCGACTCAGCATTGGACCGGCATAGGGCCATCAAGCCTTATACAAAAGCCCCTGCCTTTACACACAGACCATACTGTACTGTGCACAGGAGGTCTTGCAAGTACATCCTAAAGCGTGAAGACATGCACTTCTCCCCCAGCCTGTAGCTGGCTCAGCTGCAGCTGAACCTTGCAGGCTAGACTAAGATAATAAAGGTATCTATGTATGAATGTGCATATATATATATATATGTATGAATAGATACGTGTATATTTGTATACAACACATGCATATGGATAGATAGATCAGTAAGGTAGGCAGATAGGTAAGTAGGTAGATAGGTAAATCGGTAGATAATTAGATATGTAACTCCAGTAGTCTATCTATCCATCTATCTATCTGCGGCTTTAGGGTCTATGGGTTTTGGGTGCACGACGAGCCGCACGGTTTTCAGGTCTGTTAGCTTTCCCGGCATGGCAGACTCCATGTCTCACACTGCAAGCCATGAGCCGTGGTGCTGCACTATGGAGACCTACGGACCTACATCACTAGTGCCACTGTTTATTCTACCATGATCTATTTCAATACCCTATTCTACTCCTTCAGCCCCTATAAACAAAATCAACCCCACGACCTTCGCGCCTGAACGCTGGGAGCCAGTATATACTTTTTTAGGCTTCTTATGTTATACTAATTTTTTAGGTTCTTATTTTATAATAGGAGCCCAGAAACCTGAAAGTAAAGAAAGTGTACCACTGAAGAGCCTGGGCAAAGAGCAACCCGAGCGGGGCCCGAGGATCGCCCTGTACGTCCAGCTGAGCTCAAGGCCGGAGCTGCCCACAGCAAGAGGTTTAGGGATTTAGGGGTTTAGTGGTTTAGGGGTTTGGGGGTTTTGGGTTTAGGGTTTAGGGGTTTAGGGTTTAGGGGTTTAGAGGTTTAGGGTTTAGAGGTTTGGGGTTTAGGGGTTTAGGGGTTTAGAGGTTTGGAGGTTTAGGGTTTAGAGGTCTGGAGGTTTAGGGTCCCAAGACATCCGAATCCTACAATCCCGATTCCACAGTTGATCGTACTTACTTACCGACCTCAGGTTCTATATACATACCTTTAACCCACGGGTCGAAATACGTACTGCGCAGCCCCAAACCCTCAACCCTAAAACTTGGACTTTCGAGATCCCAAACCCAAAGGGTCCAAATTACCTGTATAGTAGAATGTAGGGTTTCCATATTAGGAATTATTATGATGATTTGGGGAAGTATCCCCCATAACAGTACCTAGGACCCTTTGGGAAAGCTGAAACATTCGAGTCGCTTCTTCCAGCCGCCGGGCTAAGGAGGAGCGCTCCTCCTCCAACCTGGATGATGGAGTCCCTTTTGACTTGAGGCTTATAGATCTTATAGGGTATCAGGTTTCTGGCTTAGGGCTTCTAGGGTTTCGGGTTTCTGTGCGGATTGTCAGGATTTGCAAGGTTGAGCGCTTAGGGCTCGAGTGCTTGAGATTCATGGTCTGGAGCTTACGCTTAGATGTTGGGGCTTCGGGACCCAGGGATAAAAAACACTAAACCCTAAACCCCCAAAACCCCTAAACCCCTAAATCCCAAACCCCTAAACCCTCAACCCTAAACCGTGAGCCCCCTACTTGGAGGGTCGGGGGACTTAGTAAGTAGGTAGTAAGTGGACTTATAAGTACCCTACAAGGGACCCTAATTGGGGTTATGGTACTTATAAGTCCCTAAAATAACCACTTACTAAGTCCCCCGACCCTCCAAGTAGTGACTCTCAGGTTGGCGTTTCAGGACGGTTCCGTTCAGTGCTCCGTAGACTTCCAAGGGCTTGAGCATTCAGAACGTTCCTGAAAGAATCAGGGTTTAGGGTTTATATAGGGTTTAGGGTTTAGGGTGTGGTTGTTTGTCTATTCTATGATGTTCTATGACATACGTATATTGGAACGATAAGGGGCGTGCACATCATGCTAACCAATCCAACCCTTTTTGGAATTGACAAAGTTCTGGGCTCGTGGGCTGCGCATCTGCTTGTTCTAGAAGCCCTGCCCTAAGCCCTTGCCCTAAATCCTAAACTCATAACCCAAACCGTACACCTCCCGACCTAACCGCTTAGCCCCAAACCCTCAACTCCCTGCATTAACCCTAAGGATCCATGTGCCCAAATAGTCGATACTTAGGCCTTAAAGTAGTCCCTATATTGCTACTTTGGGGCCAAAGTATAAACTATTTGGGCACATGGATCCTCAGGGTAATAGATGCGATAGAGTGCAGACTCAACACTTGAAGACCCGCCCCTGGCCCCCGCCCAAAGCCTGGTGCCAAATCAGAAACCTACCTTCCCCAAGGGTCCACGCACCCCTACAACTTTACTTTGGCCTTACTGTACGCCCTATTTCGGTACTTTAATGCCCAAGAATATAATAAAGGAACCCTTCAAAGAACCCCCTTGTAGATCCGTTCAAGGTTACCCCTAAAGCAACCCCTATAGATCCCCGAAATAAATGGGAGGCACCCTCTTGGGATGTCTAGGAGTTCCTTTAAGGGTAGCCCTAGAAGTTCCCTTTCTGGGCTCCTTTAATGGGATCCTACAAGGGCTCCTTTAAGGGACCCTCTAACGGCTCCTTTAAGGGGATCCTAGAAGATCTCCTTTATGGGATACTTGGGACCCAGACGAGGGCTCCCGGAAGGTTTCCACCGACCCCCCCTTGGCGCGCGCCGGGTGACGCGTTCCGCTTCGAGGCAAAGGATGAGAGTGTATCTCGGAACTCGGCCATCCTCGTGCAAAGGGTCTATGGGGTTATCGGGTTTAGGGTTTAGGATTTAGGGTTTAGGGTTTAGGATTTAGGGTTTAGGATATAGGATTTAGGGTTTAGGGTTTGGGGTTTAGGGTTTAGGATTTAGGGATTAGGATGGGGGCTCCTATAAAGTACCCTTAGTAGTATAGGGCCCCATATTGGGGGATCTGACTTCTAGATCCTCCCGGGGGTCTGGGCAGGGGTATAAGGGCAGTAGGAGTTTAGGGACTTGGGGGTTTTAGGGTGTAGGATGCTTGGGCAAAGGGTCGGTTAGGGGTTTGAGGGTTTTGGGATTTACGGTTTTAGGGGGTTTTAGGATTTTATCTAGACCTAAGAGTAGCCTAACAATAAAAAGGGTGCCCTTTTTGGTTTAAAAGGGCTTATAAGGGAACCTGAACCCTAAAACAGGGAATAAGGGCCTACTCTAGGTCCTAGTTATGGGTTCAGAGCTCTAGGAGTTCTGGGCCGGGGTTCAGGGCTTCGGATTTTCCAGGCGTGCCAGCACACTAGTGGTCCTCAGACGTGCCTGAGAGAACCCACCTACAACTCTCGGGTCTTTGAGGCCTTTTGTGCATGCTGCGCCATACCAGTATGTTCATTGTGCTTGGGGCATCCTCGTTGGAGGGCTTTGGCAGGGTCCTTCTTGAAATTACTCTTGGACGAATGGACTTATTGTGTTTTGCGTTGTTTCCGTCATGACTTCTCACTGATGTTTGGGTCCTGCTCGGAGATTCATGGCTAGTTATAAGTGGGGTTACAAGTCCCCCAATACGGCTATAAGTATACTTACCCTGTTTATAATTTATAACCTTACTTATAACTACCCATGAACCCTCCAAGTAAGCCCTATACCCTATACCCTTATAGATCCCTTTAAAGGGACCCTTAAAGGACGATGTCATCGGTATCGGTTCAAGGCCCCTCCTCTCTCGCTTTTGGCTACGGCTACGCACCGGGGGAGCCCCCAGGTCAAGGTGAAATTTGTGGGCATGCAGGTAGGTTTAGGGGGTTTAGGGTTAGAGTTTGGGGGTTTAGGGGTTAGGGGGTTAGGGGTTTAGGGTTTAGGGGTTTAGGGTTTAGCGTTTTGGGGTTTAGGGTTTAGGGGTTTAGGGGTTAGGGTCTGGGGGAGGTATGGGCATGCAGGTGAACCGTGCTCTGCTTGTGCTGAATTTGGGATCGCGGACTTTCAGGTCTTGGAGAAGCTTTACCTCAACGAAAACTGCTCGCTCTGTTCATTCTTTCTGGGCTAAGGTGCTGCAGTCGGAATTGAAATCTTGCATCATCAAAGAGAAGTGGAGTTGTGCAACTTGACGTCCATCCCCTATCACCCGAGCATTGGTGGTATACCACTTTGCTCCCTAGATAGTCCCGGGTGAGGCTTTCATGTTGATTCCCTGCCCTTGAGCTTGTTTGCACCAAGCTTGCCATTTCCGTGGAAAGTGCCTTGGTGCTTCATCTTGCTTGCGTAAGCGATGCCGGATGGCATGCTCTGCCGGCTCACCGAGCCGCCCACATTCGTCGACCTGGGTAAAATTGGCTTGAAATGCCATAGGGTCCTTACTTGACATATAGCGTCTGTATGCACCCTCAGCTGTCCCAGAAGATCGTGCTCGACATTCATCCACAGCTCTGCACAGCGCAGGTGCCGAGGTAGTCTGACCCAGCAGCCCGATGACCAGGCCATCCAGGAAGTACTTATCTTTGGCCCCCACGCGAAAACTTGGAGGCGGTGCTTTCTTGATTGCTGCAGTTGTCTGCCATCGATCTGCAAGCTTCGATACTTAAGTACATGGAAGTTTCGGAAAAGTGTAGGCTGTGCTGATACAAACCGCAAAGAATAGGATCATGAAGATCAGGACACCCCGAAACGGAACTCGCGTGTTCCGAATATGCAGCCGAAGGCATGCAAGTTTACAGGCACCAGGAAACGCGCACGAAGCTGCGTCAATAACCTCGTTCGAAGCCATCCTACATCACTGGACCCTAAACCCTATTAGCCCTAAACCGTCCTTGACTCCTTGTCCAAAGGCAGCCATCCCGCCCAATCCCGGCAATAGCATTGTTCGTATCTTTGTTGTTGCTATCATTTTTGGTGTTGTTGTGATTGCGACATAGCCATTTTTGCCGAAATTATTTATCCCCCCAATACCCGAAACCCTATACAGCACAAACACCTTCATATTTCCTCTTGAGACGAGTTGCTGCTGCTCCAGCCCACCTTTCAGCCTCGGAAACCCATGCGTGGTTGTCAAAATTATGGTCCCTCGTCGGAGTACCCTAAAGAGTAGGTGCCGCATTATGACAGGGACCAAAAAGGTACCCCAATTTTGACAACCACCTCCATGGAGGAGGCCAAAAGGGGGGGTTTAAGATTCTTGAGGTAGGGGTTCCTTAATCGGGAACCCTAATCCCTCCTAAACCCCCATACCCTAAACCCTAAACCCTTAAACCCTAAAAACCCTAACCCTACTAAACCCCCACGGAATTTTTGTGAAAGTCTCCAGGGTTGAAACCATGGGGCCCTCGTATGGGCCCTTAGCCTTCGGATCCCTAAACACCTACTCAAAGACCCTACAGACTCTTCACTAGTGAACTTAGAACCATAGCAAAAGATATAATTTTAACTGTGTTTTAAGGATTATAATAGCCAAAAATTAAAAAATATTTCTAAGTACCCCTAAGTCTTAAGGGTCCCCAGAGCTCCCCCAAGAAAGGCTAAGGGTCCATATTAGGGGCCCATACTTCTAACCTTGAAAAGTCTCGCGGCCTAAGGGGTTTTAGGATGGGTTTGGGGTTTAGTGATAACATAAACTAAAGCAACAGACCATAATGATGATAATGCCATGTAATGTGATGTGCTATGAATAGACGCACTCTTAGGTTTGAGGATTTACCTTCTAAGGTTCAGGCTTCTGAGCTTAGAAGTTAGCTGTTTAGCGGCCGCCAATGCGCGTTCCCTGCTAGATCTTCGAAAAAATCTACGGACAATCCGAAGGCTGCAAACCACATGCATAGTAAGTCAGTAAAACCCTACAGCCTCGAACTCCCCGTGGCATGAACCTGAGCCTCACGCTTAAGGCTTAAGACTCGGAAGCCCGACAACAAACGACGACCTTAGAACAGCCTCTGACCACCAAGCAGCAGCGTAAACTCCACACACCTCAAGAGGTTCAAGGTTTAGGGTTTAGGAACCAATTCGCATCCAGGGATTTCATGATCCTGTGAAGCTCTACACTACGTATCCAACTGTGGAAGCACAAAGCCGCAACCCCAAGCCCAAAAGCTCAAACCAGCAGCCCTAGATTTCGTAAACCTTCCACACCCTACATACCAAGGTCCCTCACCACAAGGACTCCGAGACCTAAACCCTATACACCTGAAGACGTCCCTACTTGTCGAGTATCCTGGAAAACTAAAGGTAAACCTTTAGAAGTATATTGGGATGGTACTACCCTCAAAGGGTCAAAGGTTACCATGTACCCTACTGCTAGGAGCACTCAAGGCCCTCTAACCTAAACCCTTTCGAGGCCCTCAACTGCCACAGGGGAGCTCTGTGAGCGACTCACTCAGGTGGGTCTGCTCTGCACTGAGCTCCTAGTAAGAAACGATTGATCCAAAGGGTGTAGGGTTCGGGTATAGTGCATGCTTTTGAAATCCAAATATGTAGTAGAAGCCTACTATGGTTTTACTCGAACCCTTTGGGTTACGCAGGAACGTGGAGTCTCATGAAGGCTTACAGGGCTTTTCTAGAGTCGTGTCGTTGCGTTGTAAAGAGGCTGATAAGCGTTTCAGAAAATCCCTATAAGGAGTTTATTTGGTTTACGTAGTTTTCCAAAACTGTTCACAGGATTTACAAGGGCTTTTGGTTAGGTGTATCACTTGGGAACTTGCCAGGACTGCAGGCAAGCATGTAGAACTCAAACCTGTCTTGATTCTTCGACCCGCACACACTCTGCTGGTTGGGGTCCCCTAACCCCGTAAACCCTAAACCCCTAAAACTTAACCGTTTGCTTGTCAGGTTTAGACCCTAAGCCCTTAATTCTTAACCCTTACTGACTTTCCCTGGCCCAACCCCTACATCCTACATACTATCGTCTCTGAACCCTAAATCTTGAAACCTAGACCTTAGAAGGGGCCCCCGCCCTGTAATAGTGACTAAAAGGATTTATATTAGGGCCCTATTATGTTCCTAGTATACCACTATTACAGGGTGGGGGCCCCTTCTAACCCCTATAGACCCTAAAGTCCACCTGTTTCGCCAAACCTTACAAAATAGTAGGTCATGACCTCTTCATTAGAGGGTAAATCCCTTAAACCGGTAGGTTTTGGGATCCCCAGGTAGGGCTTGGATTTAGGGTTTAGAGGCTGAGAGAACAACCTCGGGAATCCTTGACGCTGGTGTCTAGCGCAGAAAGCATCTGGTCGGCAGAGTAGAGGAGCTGATCGACCTTCCATGTTTGGTCTGCTTGTAATATGAACACAAAAAGTAGTAGCCACACCTTTGACAATACTACCAAGAGCAATAACACTGTTAGTAATAACACAATTATGCTCATGGTGGTCCTACTACTACTACTACTTCTTCTTCTTCTGCACCACTTCTACTGCTACCACTTCTACCACTTCTACCACTTCTACCACTACCACTACCACTACCACTACTACTACCACTACTACTACTACTACTACTCCTACTACTACTACTACTACTACTACTACTACTACTACTACTACTACTACTACTACTACTACTACTACTACTACTACTACTACTACTACTACTACTACTACTACTAAACAACAACAACAACAACAACAACAACAACAACAACAACAACAACAACAACAACAACAACAACAACAACAACAACAACAACAACAACAACAACAACAACAACAACAACAACAACAACAACAACAACAACAACAACAACAACAACAACAACAACAACAACAACAACAACAACAACAACAACACAACAACAACACACACAACAACACACACACACTACTACTACTACTACTACTACTACTACTACTACTACTGCTACTGCTACTGCTACTGCTACTGCTCTGCTACTGCTACTGCTACTGCTACTGCTACTGCTACTGCTACTGCTACTGCTACTGCTACTGCTACTGCTACTGCTACTGCTACTACTACTACTACTACTACTACTACTGCTAGTGCTACTGCTACTACGGCTTCTTCTTCTCACGCAAACAGTAGTCAGAGAAGGGAGGATCCTTCGGTTCGGGTTGCTTCTTGGGATCCTGATCCTTTTGAATGGGAGTGTCCGAAAATGGGGGACCCAAATATAGTATATACCCTAAATAGTAGGATCCTGATTATATGGACCCCAAAATAATAAGGTACCCCTATTTTGGGAAACTCCCAAATGAATTCCCATATTCCGGAGCCTCAGGCCGTAGAGACAAGCCCTACCCCCTACTCCCGAGCAGACAACGCCTAAGTACTCAAAAGTGCTTGGGGTTCCTGGTTCGCGTTCTAGGGTTTATCATAGGGATCCTTAGGGGTGTAGGGGGAAAGGGTGTAGGGGACTATATTTCCTTAAATAGGCCTTATTAGTCCTTATTATGTGCCTTAAGGCCCCCTACCCCCCCTCCCCCTACACCCCTAAGGATCCCTATGAGTTTAGGACGTCTAAGACAGTACCAAGCATAAAACAGGTGGGTTCTGAGGAACAACAGCCAGTCCCTCGGAAGGAGATTAGCGGTTATGGCTTGGGGTGTAGGAAGTCATACAGCAGAATTCCCAAACCAGCACCCTCGGCGCTGAATCGTCGAAATCACCACAAATTGCCCTGAATTATTGTGCAAACATTGCAGGCCCCGAAACGCATGATATTGAATTGCCATCGACACATTCACGGTCCATCAGTCAAAACATGCCATGTACACTATCGAGCCGGCAGCCCAAACCCAAAACCCTGAGCTATGCACAATGAACTCCAAGTTGACAACCCCAAAATGCCTCAAGCTTGAAACCCTTTGTCTGAAATGCCGTCGATCCTGAAACCCCAATTATGCTCTACACCCTGAACCTGAAAACCTGAACCCTGAACCCCAAACCCTATAATCCTTGAAGTACTAAGCCCCAAACCCTGAATCCTAAACCCGAAACTTAGGGCTTATAGGGTTTAGGGTTTAGAAGTTAGAGGATTTAGGATTCAAGGGCCCGAACCGACAGCCGGGCCTCGGGAAGGTTCGTCTTGGAGCTTGCCGATTCGGCTTCGAGTTTTGCCACTGCGTCGCAGAGCAGCGCCTTAGAGTTTGGGGTATCGAGTTCAAGGTTATACCTTGAACTACTAAACCCCACTGTTTTGTAGGTTCTTATTACAAACCCTCATATGAAATTTAAAGGGACCCTACAAAAAAGTAGGTCTTGGTAGGTTAAGGTAAGGTGTATTGGGTCTAGGGTAAGGTTTGGGGAAAAGGGTTCCGGGTTTAGCGTGAAGGGACTAGTATCAGGGGAGTGGAGGCTTTGCGGGTTTAGAGCTCGGTCGGGTGGGGCATGGATAATGTAGGTCTTTTTGGGTTGAAGGCTCTATAGGGTGCAATTGAGGGCAATTGAGGGGCTTAGGACGGCTGTACCGTTACATGGTTTGTCCTGCAAAAGTCTTGGGTGAACTGAAAACTGACCCGGAAACTGCAGTCACCATTACCCACTCCCAGGTCGAGGAAATTGTTGCGGCGTGACTGTCTAGGCTTGGTCAAGGGTTCCTGTGAGCGTTCTTAGGGCCCCAAGAAACCACATAAGCAAAAATAAGCATACGGACATCCCATATAAGCCCCCTTGAAAGGAAGGCCAATAAGGTAGGGATATCCCCATAGAAAGCTTATGATTATGTGCTTCTTGGGGTCCTTAGTTCTGCGGTTTTGGGTTATGTTCCTGACCGGCCCCAAATTCGCAACTGTCAACCTCTACCCAGCTCCCGCCAAATATGTCCACAAACCGGAAGGGATGGTCAACCCCTGCGTAGCACTGTGTATTTCTGTAGAACTTCTTTCAGTCGGGACCATACCTATGACAAGTAGGCCCTTGTAGTAAATCACGGTGCAACCTGCATATGAGTGGTTCCGGCCAGCCTGAGCCTACTTAGAAGAAGGAACATAAACTCCTTGCACCCTGTCGCGTCACCAAATCAAGCCGAACCAGTAGCAACTCTGCAGGTTACCCTAGCCCAAAACGGGCTAATTGTTCAAGTAAGAGAAGCATGTCTGTATGCATATATATATATATATATATATATATATGCGTGTGTGCATATACATGTAACTATGTATTTACTGACTTGCTTACTTACCCACTCGTTCATTTACTCATGCCGTTATTTACAAAGTGCGTCAACATGCGGGCCTGCATTTTTGGATACAGCATACATGCTGTTTCGTGCTGCATATACATATAATTGCGAACATGCATCTGCTACATGTATGTACATGTACATATAAATATACATACACATACGCAAATACATACATAAACACATGCATACATACATTATATATACACAGGTTATATGTACAAATAGTATAGTATGTACAAATGTATGTATGTATGTATGTATTTATGTAAGTAAGTATGTATGTATGTATGTCGCACATGCAAATTCCAAGTTTCGCACACTGCGAATATATGTGGTGTACCAATACAATATTACACACTAAGGAAATAAGGACAATAGAGATTTAGCGCCCTCCAGCTTTGTATCCCGTTGAAAGTTACCTACTCAACCCCGCGGTCCTCAGAACTCCGAAACCAGTGGGCCAGAAAGGCCCGCACCGTGCGCTCGCGAATTCGGCTTGCCTCGCCCTCTGCCTAGCGACAGGAGCACCGCAAAGACGCCCAAACGCGACATCGCTGCGGTTTAGCATCGACAGCCATGTTGAGAGCTTTGTGACGCAAAAAGCATGAGAGCATTCGGGGTCCGGAGCGAGTTCACCAAGGACTTCACCCCCTGGGTTTTTGTCTTCCTGGTTCGGGCTGAGTGTTTCTCTTTCAGTCTGCACAGCAAACGATGAACCCTCGGCCCTCGTAGATCCCTGATTGTGCCCGTTGGGTAGTAACCCCTACAGCGAGCCTCATGGTAGTGCCGAATACTGTTTCGGTTTACTCCCGACCGAAACCCCAAACCCCTCAACCCTAAACCCTCTTCGGCAAGCCTTCTTCAGCCGACCCTGGGCGAGAGCAGCCCGGATGCCACCTTTCGACATCCTCGGTGATTAGGGATTGTGGATTTCAGGGGCTTACAGCCTTAGGGTTTTAGGGTTTCGAGTCTGGCCTAAACTTTGCCCACAGGCTGAAAACAAAAAACGAAGCTCTTCCCCCCATAGATAAGCCCCAAACCCGAAGCACAAAGTCACTGCAGCGTCAAACCTGCAACGTCCTACAACACACCTCAACAAACCCCACTTCATTTTAGAAGGTATTCTAGGTTGGCCCTTGAAAGCCTCTGAATAATATTCTGAAATAGGGCGTATTAAGCCCAATAGGGGAAACTATAAAATGTCCCAAAGGCCTACCTAGTATTGGAAGGCTTTAGTGCCCGAAGCTGAGCCTTTTGGGGCATGAGGCTCAATCTAGCAGCCAGATTAATCCCTACTTGTCGGGTATCAGGGGGAACTAAAGGTTAAGCTTTTTGGGTAGCTAGGGATTATATAGGGACTATACTACCCAAAAAAGGTCAAAGGTTACCTACTCTACTACTAGGAATCAACTGATTATATACACTGTTAAGGGTTTCGTAAAGGATTTGGGAATTTGTGGTCGCCCATCTCCCTATGTCCTGACCCAGAAACACTAAATCCCTGAGCGCCAAGAGCTTGAAGCCCTAAGCTCTAGGCTCTTAATCTGCCTGGTGCTTAGCAGGGGATGGGGGATGGATCCCTATAGCAGTCCCGATATAATCCCCAATAGTAGTCTCCATAACCCCATTCCCCCATTCCCTACCAAGCAACCAGACAGTAGTTAGTTAACACTAGCAAGGCAAAGATAAGCTTGGCAACTGTACAAACTGAACGGATGAATCCTGTGATGGTGCTTTGGGAGTACCGGGAGAGCGAATTCCCAACCGCTGCTTGAATTACAAACCCTGGCGCTCTTCTTTGACTACTCATCCGAACATCCAAAAAAAGCAGCGTTGCACCAGTGGTTGAGAAGAGATGCCCGTCTTTGCTGGATCGCAACAGATCGGCATTGGTGCTTGCCTCCTCGCAGTCTGCAGACGGTTGGAATCTGTGGAATGGGCAAAAACCGTATGGTTGGTGTTCTAGGTGCGGTTATTGGAGGTTGTGTCTTCTACTTTCGCCCATGACTCCTGGCAATTCCTCCCCCCTGCTCCACAGAACTGCCTTGGGAAGTGCAAACATTAACTTATAGTTGTAGTCTAGCATGTGAGCTTGGCTCAAAGGTTTGAGGTCGGAGTTCGCAGAGCCATAAACTTTCGCAGAGGGTTAGACATGAGGCATGACATGCATGTAGTCCTCTTTTCTGGGCGAATTGCCCTGAAGGCCATAAACGTTACCATGAACTCTACTTGTAAAAGACCATCTTTGCATCTCCACGGCAATCAAGGAACATGTGCTTCGGCATGCCTGAAAGTTCTGCTGTCTCCTTGTGCATCTTTCATGGATTTCCAGGGTCCATACGTGAAACCCCAATAAGCCAACTAGGATCGGGTTTCCCTATCTGAGTTCGCAAGCTCCCATCTAAAGAGGTTTAGGGCTTTTCGGGGTTTAGGAATTAAGGGCTTCAGGTTTAGGGAGTCTATATGCAAAAACTACACATCCACTCAACGATGTCTGGCAGTCCCCAAAACCGCACAAACCCCATTGACAAGCCTGATGATGCATGGCATGCAGTTCAACTGCCCTGGGCCAAGACCTTTGAACACGCATGCCAACTGAAACATCGTTTAATAGAAGCCCCTTACAGGTGGGTAGTTCTTCTTCCATAGTACTCCCATAAGACCCCCTTTACCTTATAGGAGTGGTATGGGAGGCTTATCGGAAACTACCCACCTAATAATAGGGTCCGCCCCCGACGTTTGCCCACACTTCTCCTTCTTGCACATGTCTTGCAGTGGTTGCACATGTCTGCAGATGTTGGTTCCCGCTTTTCCTCCCACCATCAAGGCGTTCTCGCACGCGTTGCAAACAGCCCAGTGGCCAACCATGGTAACGTCCACTCAGACTCCATCCGTTCCCGCATAGCATCCAATGGGCCAACCATGATAACGTCCACTCAGACTCCATCCGTTCCCGCATAGCATCCAATGGGCCAACCATTGTAACGTCCACTGAGACTCCATCCGTTCCCGCATAGCATCCAATGGGCCAACCATGATAACGTCCACTCAGACTCCATCCGTTCCCGCATAGCATCCAATGGGCCAACCATGATAACGTCCACTCAGACTCCATCCGTTCCCGCATAGCATCCAATGGGCCAACCATTGTAACGTCCACTGAGACTCCATCCGTTCCCGCATAGCATCCAATGGGCCAACCATGATAACGTCCACTCAGACTCCATCCGTTCCCGCATAGCATCCAATGGGCCAACCATGAAAGCGTCCACTCAGACTCCATCCGTTCCCGCATAGCATCCAATGGGCCAACCATGATAACGTCTACTCAGACTCCATCCGTTCCCGCATAGCATCCAATGGGCCAACCATGATAACGTCCACTCAGACTCCATCCGTTCCCGCATAGCATCCAATGGGCCAACCATGATACGTCCACTCAGACTCCATCCGTTTCCGCATAGCATCCAATGGGCCAACCATGATAACGTCCACTCAGACCTCATCCGTTCCCACGCAGAGCATCCATCTCCCGTGAAAACGCAAAAGTGCAACCAGCGCGTTTGCTGACCCTGCCAGCATTTCGTCCACTTCCATCTTCAGAACTCAGCAGTTCCGTGACTTAGTTTCCCGAAGCAGCAAACAACGATTAACTGCACCAGGCCGTGTCCCCCGACAGTTTGCCACACGAAAGTGTGGGCAAACGTCGGGGGTGCACCCTAATAATAACTACCCACCTGTAAATGGCATGGATATGTATTGTTTTGCGGGATACTTCCCTAAGTCATAATCGTAATTCCTAATATGGAACCCCTACATTCTACTATATCGCTACATAGGGATTTAACCCCCTAGCTGGCACTGAACCTAGACCCCTTAATTCCTAGGAACCTGCACTCTGAACGGAAGCTAAGGCTTAGGGCCTGCGTATCCTAATCCCGGTTAACCTTATAGTTCATCCTTGGTCATATACATATATATATATATGTGTGTATATACATCTACATATACATATACATATACATATGCATATATACATATACATATATACATATACATATATACATATACATATATACATATACATATACATATACATATATACATATATACATATATACATATATACATATATACATATATACATATATACATATATACATATACATATATGTACGTATGTACATGCATATACATAACTCGGAAAAGGTTCAAAGGCGGCGCGAGAGAAGCTGCGTCCCGAGCGGAAGGCGTGAGACGAGCTTCGCGAATACGCGAAAGCTCAGAAATCTGGTGGGAAGCAAGCAGGCAACTGTTTCAAGACTCGGACACCGGGGACTTAGTCTTACCTTTGGTTAGTAGGGAATGGAAGTATGGTAGTAATAGTAGTCGTAATTGTACCCCAATCCTCCATTCCCTACTGACCAAAGGTAAGACTTTTTAAGGAATCAACGAGGTGTCGGACGTGGGACGCCGAGAGGGGGAGGTTGGGTCGGGGTCTCAATGAAGGAACAGCATGAGTGAAACCGTAAGATGATAATGATCGCAGGTTTTCCTAGAAAAGGTGCAAAAGAAAACGTTGACCTTATAGTTTATCGTAGGTTACAGATACATAAACCAAAAAGCTAACAGATACGTACTCAGCACCGAAGGAAGTTAGGGGATTTCATGCTGTCCTGGGCCGGCGCTGACATGAGCGCCGCCAACTTTCGATCAAGGCATCGGAGCCTTAGATGAGAGAGGGGGTCGGTTGAGATAGAGTTTTTTTGTTGAGCTCCTTTTCTCCAGTGCCCCGAAAGGTCTGAGAGGCCATGAGATAGAGTTTAGGGTCTAGGGTTTAGAGTTTAGGTGTAGGGTTTAGGGTGCGGGATTTAGTTTTTGGGTCTAGGGCCATTTAAGGTTTAGGGGATATAACTCTAGCCGAAGCAACCTACCCTCTTAGGGTACCTTGTTATGGTTTCGATATGTAATTCCTTAAAGAGGTAGGTTTTAACAGGAACTAAGAACTTGAACTTTCTTTTCGGAAGGGGCGGCGAGGGGTCCTATACTATAGCTGTATCAAGAAATGGAAATATCATTGAAGGGGAAGGCCTTGCAAACCTACCCTAATAACCCATATTGTTATAAACCTTACAACCCCACTTATAACTACCCCTGAACCTCCAAGCCACATCGACTCTGCAGCTGGAACGATGTCTGTCTCTCCGGCTTTGCCATCTCTGAGTTTTTGCATTACACGCTGTTTGGGGGTCACTGATCATATGGCTACGAAACCTGAAGGGCCCTAAACCTCAAACTCCCAAACTCGATCCCTTCGGGGCTTAACCCTGAACCTTTTATCCACCCGCCTCTTTCTGTTCAGAGACTCGGGGTTCAAAATATTGGGGAGTGACGGCTAGATTTCGGGTTTGGGTGTACGCTTTTATATGATTGAGGCTTTTATCTTGAGGTTTTGGAGTAGGGCTTAGGGTTTAGGGTAGGGGGTGTAAGGTGTCAGAACCGTAAGCATCACATGCCACAACATCACTGAAAGAGGCCCAGGCCATTTATCAAAATTCAATCGTGTATCACGCACTTAGAGGACCATGGGACTTAGTAAGTAAGGTTATAAGTACATTAATTGGGGTTATAAGCAGTTATCACTATAGTTACCTTACTTATAACCCTACTTACTAGGTCCTATGATCCTCTAAGCAAACAAGAACAAAGAAGCTCCGGGAATTGTGGTCTTGTGCCGGTGCAGAGATGCCGTGAGCTGGTCGGGCTCAGGGCGTTAAAGCTGAGAGTGTAAGGATCGAAGCAATTGCCTTACTGTAACCAGGGCTGAAGGTACTAGCATCGGTGCGCGAGTAGCTAATCATCATGTTCCCTTTTTGCCACGCTAACTTTACACTATGATTAAGCCCCAAACCCCTCTCCTCAGTATCAAGGCCCCGGTAGTGCGCCTCTTGTTTAGAGAATGCAAGCAGCGTTGAAGGGATCAGCTCATGCTGCCACTGCCGCTTGACCTCGCAGTGAGGACCCAAAGCAAAAAACGACAACCTTGACGGTCATGCACTGGGCTTTGAAGTAACCACGCCGCAAACCTGTATAAGTTTGTTTTCATAATGGTTCCCTTTAAGAAGCAAATCCCCAACAAAGTCTTAAAGTATGCTACTCCAAAGTGTTGGATGTGGGCTCAGGGGTTTAATTTAGGAGCTACTATATTCATAGCATATTTTTTGTTGCTATCGTTTCTATTAGTGTTACTATCAGTATACTGGTGTTTTGCATTACTACTGTTATTTCTAGTAATCTGCTTGTTTGTCTGATTATACATTATCTTGTTTATGCTTTTATGTTGCCATTATTGCAGCCGGACTTGCTCGGTACGTCTGACCCATCTCAGCCTTCGCTACACATAGCCACATCTGGCTTTGAGGCTTTGGAGCTTTGTAGACGCATACAGCCTTACAGAACTTTAAAGTCCGAAATATGTTTGCGAAGAACAGCATATATATATATATATATACACACACATGTACATATGTACATTATGTGCATATATATATAATATACACACTTCGTTTTTTTTTATATACTTGTAGTTATACATGCCCGTATGAGCCCTAGACTGTAAACTCCTTCATCCCTCCATCCCCCCCCCCCCCCAGCTCCACCCTGCCCCGCAGGAGCCCTGCACTTTCGTATTCTCCTGACCCTCATGTACCCATGTGGGAGTTTCCTAAAATAGGGGACCCTAATTTAGTACCCCAAATAGTAGGATCCTTATTATAAGGACCCTCCAAATATGGTACCCCTAATTTTCGGAAACTCCCATGTAGTAGATACTTAGTCCTTGAAGTACCTGTGTAGGGACCCCGATAAGGCCTAGGTACCTACGTGCCAAATTAACCCCTTTAAAAACTAAGTATCTACGAAAACCCCTTAAGGCCTAAGTATCTACAATAACCCCTCTAAGTCCTAAAGAACTACAATATTACTACTATAGGAGCCTTACTAATTAGAACAGGGTTTTGGTACTATAATTATACTAAGGACCAGCCCCTCCCGAAATAATATTGGTAATTATTGAGGCCCCCAGATTACATGAAGCCTTAACCCTAAACCCCAAACGCTGTGAAAGCGAGAATAGGGGATCCTAATATAGTACCCTCAATAGTGGGATCCTTATTATAAGGCCCCCTGAACACGGTACCCCTAATTTTCGGAAACTCCCATTTGATGCTCTTGGCCGGGAGGCCAGTGCCAGGGCTTTCCGAGACCATACAGCGCAAGATTCGGTCCGGGGCGCCTCTCCACTCGCTGAGGTTCATGGGTCATGGGTTGTTATAATTAGGGTTCCTTTAAAGGGATCTAGAGGGTTGTAGGGTTTAGGGATTAGGGTTTAGGGTAGTTGTAAGTCGGGTTATAAGTAGGGGAACTATCCTTACAACCCATATTAGGGGACTTGTAACCCCACTTATAACTGCCCATGAGCCTCCAAGCGGAATCCAGTAGGTTGCTTTATTAAGGGTGTTACGGTTTAGTGTTCTTGGGTTACGGGGTCATCGGGTTAAGGATTAGGTTTTAGGGTTTTTAAAATGGTCTGAATCCCATAGTTACGGGGTTTTGCATTTTTTGAGCTCCCTTTTCCGTCTGCAGGGCTGATCTACCGAAAGGGTTTGGGGCTTAGTTTGTAAGGTCTAGGGGCGCCAGTTTGTTTTGGGATTTTGGGCTATATCAACGTATATATTATATCTGTATGTATATATATATATATACACACATATGTATGGTTCTATATATAAACATATACACATATATCTAACTCTCTATATATATATATATATATGTACAACTCCCCATGGAAAAAGTGCAGCAGCCTTGCCGCTGGAACTCCGCTCCGCGCTCTCTTCGCTCGCCGAGGCCACAAGCGCCTCAGGGGGGGTTACTTTGAGGGCTCCTTTAAGGGTTCCGTTAAGGGTTCCCTTAAGGGTGTCTTTAAGGTTCCTTCTTTTAAGGGGCCCTCCTTCTGAGGGTTTAAATCAGGTTTGGGGTAGAGGCGCTAGTTTTCTTAGTTTAGGGATTAGCTTTCCTAGCCCTTTTTCCATGAGGGTTTGGGGGTTCAGGGAGGACGTAGAGACCTTCCTGGTTTCATGCTTCAAGGGTTGGGTTGCTATGAGGAGTTCAACGACAGAAGCCTTGGCAAATTTCAACTACCAAGACAATATTGGTTCTTCTGCAGGCTTCTATATTGTCGTATACTGACAGCGGGAGATACCATGAATGATCATTCCGACACCACCCCCCCCCATATGACTGTGTGCAGGGTGT